AGGTGCCTTTTCAAAAGGACTGCCCAAGCAGACAGGAATCCTGCAGTGGACACCACTGCCTGACAACCTGGCTGCTTTAGAGACCACACTTCACATCCCCACTGAGGGGCTGTAAGGACTTCAATGGCGTGTCAGATAGGCAAATGTGATTTTAAGGCCACAGAAGGACTTTGCCAATGAGGTAAGAACAGGATGGAGTGGCAGGGTGGCCTGGCTCATCCTAGGTAATGCATCCAGACAAGGACCCTTTGGCAAACTGTGGAGAATCATGTATGCTGGTATCACCTCAATCCCTTGTTTACACCTTAATTCAGGCAGAGCCATGACTCAATAACAGGATCATAACAGAAGCATCCAAAATTACAGAGGTAATATAAGATCACTGTTGGTTTGAGGGGAAAGACAATCTTCCCTGGGGTTTATCAAAAATGAAAAAAAAAAAAAATTAAAAAAAATGAAAAGAAAATTCACAACTGATTAAGTGAAGACTAATACATAATCAGCTTGGTTTGAACTTCTTTTGAAAGGAATTCGGCAAGGCTTCAAGAGTCAAAAAAGATTACCAGTCTTCTGATGCACCACTTATATACCTACTTGAAACTCTGAAAAGGGAAAAACCTCCTAAATTTTGGAATATGCTTACTGCAGCTAATAAATTTAGTCTCTATATGCACCAAAATCTTCCTACATTGGCATAAGAGCTCTAATTCTCCCCCTTAGCAGCCTGTTTCCATCAGCAAGCACCCAGGTAGTCACTGTGATTTCAAGAAGCTTTCTGATGTATTCAATCTCACACTTAAGAGCCTTGCTCAGGTAAGTACAGTTACAAGGTACAAGTGAAACAGCTTTGGCATAGACAGAATATTGAAAGGACTCACTACATAGGCTCATTCAGGCATTTACCAGAAAAAATCTAACTTGATCTTATGAGTCTGAAGAACTGTCAAATGCTGTGTGACATTCAGAATCGTAAAATAAAATCACTGACTATGTTTGAGTTGGAAGGAACTTTTAAAGGCCATCTTATCCAATCCTTCTGCAATAAACAGAGACACCTTCAGCTAGAATAGGTTGCTCAGAGCCCCATCCAACACCACAACTTCTCTGGGCAACATGCTCCAGTGTTTCACCATCCTCACTGTAAAAGCCTCCTTCCTTAGATAAAGTCTGAATTTACCTTCTTTCGGTTTAAGGACATTGCCACTTGTCCTATCTTTTTTGTAAGCTCTTCATCTGTAAATCTCTCCTAAAACTCAGGAAAATATTTCTGACATGAAAAAGAATTGTCAAACTACTGTGTCTACTTAATGACATAGCAAGAGCTGTAGCTCTAAGAAGACTTTAACAGCAAATAATGCCTTTAAAGTAAAAATCGAAATCAGAAATATGACAGCAGCTGAAGTATTAATGCATAAACCACCCTTAAATTAGCCAGCTCAGAGGGTTGCATGTTGCCATCACTATTCTGAACTGCAGGGCAGTCAAATCCAAAGAAACACATCAAATGACATGGACAACTATTAGCCTAACTTTAAATCTGGTTAAAAAACAGTGCACCTGAACTGCACTATACTATTTTCATGCTCTAGTAGCACATGAATGGTTTTCCATGTTCAACTATGAACTATCACACAGCAGAAGAACATTGTCTGCTCCAGAACTCAAGTGTCTTTAAGACACTTCTTGCTCCACACTGCCCCTTGTAGGCTGACCTTTCAGCCAAGACTTTGCCCAGTGAAGCTAAGATCATTTAAAGCACAACGTACAGTTCCCTGGGCCATGCATGCTCTCCCATGCTGCCTCGTAAGAACTTGAAATTGAAGTAAGGATTCCTCATGCCATTGCTCTGTGCCAGCCGCTGATTTATTTATATTGGAATTCAGATAGGAAGGACTAAAATTAGGACTCTGTAAGCAGAATTCACTGTTCAAAATGTTCCAATTGTTTTAGCATCTGGGCACCTTTGAGAACAACTGACTGATGTATCACTATGGCAACACAAAGAGGCCTCAGTAACTTGAACTATTAAGACAGCAAGAGGTTTTTAAGGCTTTTATTTCTACAAAATATAGCACAGCTAATGCAACGTCCTAGACAAAGTGGAGGACTGAGAAAACAAAATAAGGAGGAGCTCACATTTCCTGTTTGTCACCCTAAGCTCACACTGACCAGTGATTTTTCTGCCTCAATGCCTGTTGTAGAAAGGAAAGACAAAAACCACAAAGGCATGATCTTCCTCTTGCCAAATCCATTCCTGGTGAATAACTGAGGTAGGGATTTTGCCCAGTGCACAAGCAAGGAGTCAGTAATTACCCGGCTGCCACTATGAAATTACTCCCCAATGAAATGGTTTGAGCTTCCAAGAAAAAATGCAGCAGGGGGGAAAAAAATTGGCCCTTTACTCCTGCAATCCTGATAAGAACTTATCACAGACACTTAATATCTCGTTAAGATTTGCTGCTACCACTTCTGGCACCATTTGCTGCTTACAAAAAAAAATACATTAGGCAAATACATTATTTAAAGCCACTAAACAGTTTCTTTCTAAAACAAAATAACATCATTAATCAAATATTAGACAAGTAGCATTAAAGGCTTTTTCTTTTTTTTCCCCTGCCCAGTCTTCACAGTTTCTTGTGTCAGGAATGTCTTGGATGTAATTTTACTGTGCCATACAAGAGAATAATTTTTAGCTATTTGTAACTGTTTAACATTTTATTATCATTAATATGCATCTTATCTGGTTTGGATTACAGACTTTCTTGTAGCTTTAGAAAGCATTAGTTATTCTAAACATACTCTGTCCCTGCAGGGCCTGAAGGCAGAAACTTCTCCCTACAGGACCCTGCTGGCTGGCTACTGCTCAGCTCTCTGTGATATGCACCATTTTTGGACATGCAAGTCCAAACCATATAGGTACACAAAGATAAGTATAAAAATCAAAGCATCATTGTTGTTCTCCAAATTAATTAAGTATCAATAACTATAATCCTCACATGCAGATCAGCTCATACGTGGAGCCTGCATTCCTGTCAATGGAATTCAAGAAATGCCAAGGGCACGTTTGCATTGGAGACAGATGGCACTGGGATACTTAGACACAGGAATTAGAATCTGTTGTGCTTCCCTTAACTGGATATGAAGAAAGCTACCTGCATGTAGAAAGCACAGGGTGAAATGAAAGATCAGTATATTGATATTTCATTCATAATGCTGGAATTTTTCCTGAATGCTTCCTACAATTACTTGAAGGTTTCTATAAAATCTACCGAATTCCAGTTTAGAAGTTTTTCCAGCAAGATGGTTCTGTTTAATTTCAAATATACTTGTCATAAGTGTTGGCTTAAAGACACTTATACACTGATACAGTTTCATATGGAGAAGTTCAAATACATTTAATCTGTTTAAGCACAACCTTGTTCCTCATTGAAAGAATTCCAGAGCCACAGGTCATATTTTTAAACGTTAGTATTGGAAGAGTAGCAGAGGTTAGAGCATGTTTCTAAGACCACTGAGTGCTTAGGAAAAGTTATGTCTGTGTTCTTAGAAGATAGCACTAATCAGGTAGTAAAAACAAAAAAAACAAAAAAAAACAAAAAAATAAACAAAAAAAAAAAAAAAAAAAAAAAAAAAACCAAAAAAAAAAAAAAAAAAAAAAAAAAACACACCACCCCAAACATGCCCAAAATCTGGGAGGTGGCTTCATTCAGCACATGCTGAACAGATATGAGAGTTTCTTACTCTGAATTCATAAGAGATTATTAAATGCTGAATCTCATCACAGCAGATGAAAAAGCCAATCAAACAACAGTGCAGGTTTCCCTTTAAGTGAAGAAAAAATGTTCTATGCTGCTTTGAGCTAACCAGAAAGATTATTCTGGATTTCAGCACAGTATTTTAGAGTCCAGTGCCTTCCCCATCTCTTGTTATTCAGAGAGCCCCACAAAAGAAGCACTACAACAATCAGCATTTCAAACATAAGGCCCTTGCAGTAATACCCAGACAGTAGGTAACACACTGTGTTAAATTTTAATACAGGTAGTCTAGATGAAAGGGGTTTATCACCACATTGAAAAAGATACCACAGCCAGACACAGATTTAAGCCATAGATCTGTAGCAAGATCACAACCCATCTAACCTACTCTAATCCTCCAGTGGTGTTTTGGATGGTTCAGGGATTTTGGGGATGTGCGGGGATGTTTTAATTTTCTTACAGTAACAAGCATGCAAGCCAGGACTCCACAGACAATTTTAAAGCTAAACTTGTGCATACAAAGAGAAGCAGAGAACATAAACATAAATGAACAGGAATGATGTTATCCATTGTCATATTTTTAATACCTTCCACGCTTTAAAAGGCACAGACCTCAAGTTTGTGTTGTGATAAAGCCTTAGAATTATGTTTTCTTTCTTTTCACAAAAACAAAATTACTTTTATTCTCCAAGGACTCAATCACTAAGAAATAACCATCTTGCCTAGTATTGCAAGGCAAATATTACTGCACACTCTGATTTTCATCTAATGCAAGATATAAAAATACATTGTAATTAAGTAAACAAAATTTCCCTGGAAAAACATTCTACCACGCTATTGAAGATGCTTCTTGTGCCACAGAGGTAAAATGGTCACTGAAAAATACTGAAATATTGCAGATGAGCTGCACATTTACAAATCACATTTATAAAAATCAACTACTTGCAAGAATGAAAGGACTATTTAAACAAAAAGAATCACCCTATCAAACCTGTTGAAAAGTCAATTTCTTGGCATATAAAGGCCCATTCCCTCTATAAATGTCATTACCCAAAGTCTTAGCAAAAATATGTAGGCTAATGAATAAGAGCAGCAGCCTAGCCTCAGGCCAGTTTCTACTTTTGGAAACACCTATGAAAGCCCAGATGAAAGAGAAAAGAGGGTGTATATGCATATCCATGAGAAGGAATCTGGACTGGTGTTTAAACTGCACTTCCAAAAGATCATGTTATTTGAATAACTCACTGTTTGGACACATCAGGCATTATCATCTGTTCTTTTTTCCTTGTATCCACGGCAGTCTCCACAGGGGTGAGTACTACAGCAGCACACGACACTATTGACTGGTATGAGTCTTCCCGGCACACTGCAAAGATAAAAAGTATCAGTGTTAAACAGCGAACTCAGTTTGCACTTGAAAGGAAAAAAAAAGAAAAAAAAGAAAAAAAAAATCTATTCATACTGTGATAAACACAAATGAAAATAATTAATCAGGCTTCACTGTGGCCACATGCAATGAAAATGCCATTATTTTTCACGTTTCCTAACGTGCTTACTCTGCACATTTTTTGCCATTGACTGATCACTCACTGAGTTTTACCTAGCACAACATCTGCTGTCAGCCTGCTCTAGCTCATTGGTGTGTCTGAGTCCTAAAAGGACTTATATTTCATAAATGACATCAGAGCATGATTCACTTCTTAGTTTTTTTTCATCACAGACTGAAAATAAGGGTGAAAATAATGAGTGGTTTCCAGACAAACCTACCCCCTTCAAAAATTTTAGACTTTGTAAGAAAATAGATTTAAGAAAATCTAATTAGTGATTTATTTTTCACTTTTAACTGTTGTGACTCATTTTACTCCAAAAAGGCCAAATCTAAATGGTCTAGAAGTGAGATCTGATATACTGACTCATGCTTTCTTTTAATAAAAATTGTATCTGTATTACTGTGCTGAATGTTACAACTTAGACAGTATTTAGAGTCAGAAGAATGATCACACACTTGAGCTGAGCATTTGGCTCAATTAGAACTAATAAATGAATATCCAAAAGTTTCTGACCTCTGAACAGGCAATTATATTACAATACATCAACATTCTTAAAATGTAAATTTTAAGTGTCGCTAGTAATTCAGATTTTAGGAGTGACCACTCCTACTTATTTTCAAGCTATAGATTTCCTTTACAGTCAAGACACGAAAAAAAAATGAAAGCTGGAATTGAGTTGGTTTCATTGAACAAAGTATGACAGCTTCTTATCTTACATTTGGTACTTGAATGTGTTATATACAAGCAAGAAGAAATGTGGGGACTTGTGTTTAAACAGAAAGACACAGAGTCTTTTATAACACACAGAACTCTTTCATGAAGTGTGAACACATGCCCACAGAGCCAATAACATAGCCTGTAAAACCAGAATGACTGGTGCAAATCCTGAGCAATTCAAAACCACAAGAACACATTTCACAAGCGCATACATTTATAGAAGATTGGTACAGCTGGGAACATTGAACTGTGACACTAATTTATTATTATTCCGTTCTCCACAATCACGTGCCTCCTTAATGCCCACGGAAAACCTACCTTTGGCATAGCCTATGCTCCCTGTACACAAGAAGCAAAACTGGAGTAAAACTTCACCCATACTGACCTGACTGGGTCAAGAACAGCTAACTGTGCCATTTTACCCCCAGGGCATGAAGCACCTTCATCCCAAACTCAGCACACACCAACAGGACACACTGGTGCTCCACAAACACCCTGAAACACTAACAGGAACAAATCAGGTCGGGGCTGGTTATTTCTACAAAGGTCTTTTTTTGGTTTCTGAGCGGTTGTGAGCCATTCAGCAAGCAGCACAATTGGCCAGACCACAGGCAGCTCTGCCAGGAAGGAAACCTTTCGGGGAGTGCTTGTAATTGTATTTAATTTATCTGATGTTGTCCAGCATTGTTTATGCTTGTGTTTTAAATATTAATGTGCACACTGTGCTAAGTGACTAAGCCATCTAAAATGCCCAGTATTGGAACAGCAGCAGAGGTTAGAGCATGTTTCTGAGACCACTTCCTTTTTCTTTGGAACCAGCATTACTCAATACTTTGTCACTACCCTAGACAAACATCTTCCTGTATTGACTACAGGCATGCAAGTAAGATTTCTGTTATAGCTTGATGCACAACACATGAAGATGAAACTAATGCAAAATACATTGAACTAAAGAGACAGCATAAGAAAAAATGGAATTTTTGGTGATTGTACATCCTAGTATATTATGTACCACCAGCAGACTATCTACTACAGATTCTGCTTGGTAGGCGCCAAGTACTTTACAAAATACTATTTTCTCATTACATCCAGCGACTGAGTATGTGCAAAAAAGAACATTAATGTCTCTGTCTCTTTATTTACAGTCAAAGAATTGCAAATAGGCTTATCATAGTGCACACCAGTGATATTCAGCACCCAAGTTTTAACCAGTTATCAAAAACACTGATAAAACAGAACATAAAGGATGAAGCAAATACACATTTTTTCTTCAGAAGACCTGTATTACTACTAGAGTATCAAGTTATTACTTTAGAACTCGTAAAAGGTCTGGTGACAAGCATCACAAGGGAGGGTTTGCTTAGATCAGGCACTGTCCATCACAGCAGTTACAAAAAAAGATATAAGAGGGAATCAGGAGTAAAAAGAAGACACTGCAAGTCTCCCACTCTTTACAGAAATTTCATTAATGAATAAAACTGTGAAATTGCTTTTGTTTAATAATTAATGCTTTACAGGAGTTGTATAATCCCCTAATTTACAGCTGAAGACAAACTCAGTGGTCACCCAGTGACTGCAGCTCATGGAATGTATTATCCCCCCATTCTAGACAGCAATACTCTTTGGTCTTGCTTTGGAAAACCACTACAATTCCTCCTTTTTATCTCAATTCTCTGTGCACAGTCATAAGTCATTATGGGACAGTATAATTAACTAAAATGTCATGAAGAAGTAATGGCACAGCAGCAAGTAATTTTCACCTACGGGATTGTATGCTCTTATTACCTGTTGATAACCTGCATTAAAATAATGAGAACATGCCTGAATGTGGACTTGCAACTTTAGCACTGACAGGGATTGGCACTGTTTTACTTAAGACTTATTGCATTTTACATTTCAAACTCAACTCTTAAGCATAGCTTCATTTCTACAACTTCATTTTTTAATCTACGAGTGGCTTATGTTACCCCAAAAAAAGACCATTCATGATGTTCACACACTGTGCTCTTTATGAATTGAAATCTGTTCAATCCTCAAGATATCACAAACATCAGAAAAACAATTACTCTAAGGGTTCGCTGCTTTTAATCATAAATCCTCTCACACATCAAACTTGCACCTTAACATCCAGCAAGAACTTAAAAATTTCACCTTCCCACATGAATTGGTAAGGAAAGCACAATTTTCCGTCATCTCAGTTAGTGTTTGGCAAAGCCATCAACGTAATCAGCTGTCTCAGCCTACTATATTATTTCTGATGCAGAATGATGGAAATAACTGTACAAGTCATCAACAAGGGGAAAAATCAGCCCATTTTATACCACCTGTAGCAGCTTCTTCAAGAAACTAACATTTAGTATCTCAGAATGTTTTATACACTGAATATCTTCAGGGGAAAAAAAAGCAATTTGCATGCAAGTGAGATGGTATTTTTCAGTCCTTTATTCGCAACTCAACCATTACATGAACAAGCTAATAATTGTAGTAAAGTAACACAACCGGAGGAATATCTATGTGTTATCATTACAGGAACATATTTTCCTAGTGAAACAAAAGACACTACCTACAAATTACAAGTCATGTAAAGGAGAGCTCTACAGAAAGGGAAAACAAATAGTCTTAACTTCATATTATAAAAGATCTGTACTGCTTTTGAAGCTGCACGGTTTCTCCCCAGATCCTCCAGTTTAATCATGCATGCAGCTTGTTTTCTTCCATCGCCAAGTGTTTTAAAAGTACCCCATATATTTATCACCAGGAGTGCTGGCTTGGATTTACCCTAGCTGGTTCAGGCAGTCCCAGAACATCATTCACTATCAAAACAGATCTTTACATCTGGAGAAGAAAAACATTAGGTTTTTTTCTCTTTGCTCTTTCTTTCAAGAACAATGAGAGTGACTAATTAAACATTTTTTCTTCTACTTTAAACCAACCAGTGAAAAGTTTTAATTCCCTAAATAGTAGGACAGTAGGAAGCCTTCAACAGCTACTGAATAGAATGTGTTTCTCAAGAGAATAAAAAGATTTTTAGGCTCTAGGGATGTCATTTACATCATCTATTTCAAACACTTAATTGTACACACTTCCCCCCCGCTTTTTTTTAATTGAGCAGAAAGAAAATCTGGTTATCACTGCTTGCTATGAAAAAAAAAGTCTCCCTTGACACAACATGCAAAATGAAATTAGCAGCAAGTACTACCTGCTTAGAGAAAACAGAAGGGAAATGTTCATATGCAGTGTGCAATGAAGCATAAGGGAATCATGACACAGGGACACGAAAACAGTGAAGTATTTCTTGATTTCAGAAATCTGGGCACTTATCCTGACAATCCAAAGTATTTACATTTATGCCTATGAAATTTAAAATTATCAGTTCTCATTATTCAAGAGACAGATCAAATCTGGAAACAGACGCTATTTTATACCAAAAATCCTTCTGCTTTGGTAAAAAACTAGGCAAGCAGCCAGGAGCATGGAAGGCACTAAATGCTTTACCCTGAAAGATCAGTCAGCTGCCACTGTAGGAGACGGGGGACTAGAGCATGAGGGGGCAACATCTGGATGCCAAGTATCACATCTGACATCCCTTTTACTACCAAAGGCCAGACTTTATGTTTTAATAACTCTGGAACACCAATTCTCATTGCAGGCACCAAGAACATTTTGGCACATGGTTTCTTAAATACCTCTCTGCCACGAAGAAGCTCAGGAAATGAGTCAGCCTCTGAGGTGGTCTGAACAAAGGACAAGAGCTGCAAACCCTTATACAGGTTCCTCAGACAAGGGAAACTCACGACAAAGAATTGTTACACTTAAAACAGAGCTTTTGCTAAAACAAGCTAACTAAACCCAAACCACAAACCCACCAACCAACCAACAAGGAAGAGTGCATACACCATAAATTCCTTCAGTATATTACAACAAGAGAAGAGCTGATGAAAGAAAAAAACCACAACATGCAACTCAAGTTATTTTGCCAGGAAAGCCGCTAACATTAGAAATTACATATAAGAGAGGATCTTGAAATCCAGTCTATTAATTCTGGTATGTCCAGGAAAAAATGTGACTAACCACCATGCTAATCCCTTCCTGACTGCAC